GCGGTCAGAGGACAGACGGAGACGTGAGTTCACTAAGCTTCAACACTCCCTCCAAACTAAAAGTAGAGGGGGCAGAAAACGAGGTTCTCCTTACTGTCTTAGCAGGGAGGTCAGGACCCATGGATCTGGTGTTAAGGCTTTGGCGTAATGACCTATCATTTCCCAGTCTTACAACTTCCCCTATGTGGTAAATTCTTGTTTTTTCCTACTTTCCTATAGAGATTACAACTCTCAGAATAAGAAACAGTGAAATTTAGCTTTATTTAAAGAATTAAAAAAAAAAAAAAGATGGTTGGAATCACGTAATGAACATTTTATTCAATATAGATCTCTTGTCCTTATCACTGTTATTTTTACTTGTTTTATTTCTTTCATGAGAGAGGGACTCCCGATGGAGTTTCATGTCCAACCTACCCACCAGCCTTCTCAGCCCCCCAGTATCACAGCATGTGCTCCCAAGATAGACAGATTGACCAGGGAACCGAACCCACAATCTTCCATGTGGATCCAGCACTGCTTAGTGCATTACTTTACCACTGAGTCAGCCCTACATTGTTATTTTTAGATTCACATGATTCATGAAAAATCCCTGATTTCTTTAAGTCTTAACCTGTCTTTTTGTTTCATGAAGAATAATTCATCAAAAAGTATAATTACTTTAATTGAAAATAAAAAATATATGAATATATTGCATTAGCCCATAGAAGTAGGTTGCCATCATAAAGAAAAAAAAATCTATACCTTAAACCTTCCTAATATTTTGACTACAATTAATTGACTTTAATAAAAAGATGCTTTTAACTTACTGTATGGACATGGAATCAGATAGAAAACTAAATATCCAACAGCCTAAACAAATGTTATTGAGCTCTTACTTTGTACAGGTGTGCTAGATGCTGTTACATTATTTCATCCCAATAACCCTATGTCTTCATCTGTTTTACCACAGACTGGGTAAGTCAGAATGGACAGGAATTCATTAGGGCACAGTTCTGGAGTCTAGGAAGTCCAATATCAAGGTATCAGCAACTAGCAAGGACTTTCTTACTGCATCATCTTGTGGCAAAAGACAAGGTCAAAAGAGAGCAAGAGAGGGCTGAACTGGTCCTTTTGTAACATTATTTTGTGTTACATTATGCCACCCATGAAGGTGGAACCCTAATGCCTAATCATCCCTTAACTATCCTTCTTCATAATATTGTTACAGTGACAAATTGGCGAACATTCAAACCACAGCGCTCTGTAAAGTAGCTATTATTATTTCTATTTTGTAGATGAAAAATTCTGAAAGCCTGCCAATGATTTGCCCAAGAATATGTAGCTCACAAGGAGGCAAATCAGAATTAATGTCTATATCTGAGTGACTCTAAAATGTTTTTATTTCACTAAACCACATTGCTTTAGTGAAGAAATAACTTCCCAAATTTGAAGCATATTATGTTACATTTATCCACATAATACACTATTTTATTAAGATGCAGTATCTATGATTATTATATTATTACATGAGAAGCACCACGGTTTCCAAAATCAAGGTATCCAAATTGCTTCTTTTCAAATCCTGTGTAAGGCTGTATGTAGGACTCGCACAACCTTCATGGGTAAACGGGCATTTTTCTAATGTTCTTAGAGAGACTTGACTTCTCTCCCAGTGCATGTACACTACTCATGGCAAAGATAAAAAGAGTCCTCTCAACACCCACAGCAAGTGTGTGAAAATGGTATTCTCCTCCTTCGTAAGCTTAAGCTCCTTTTTATACCAACAGCAAGGCGTTCAGGGCTTTGACATCTCTCTGCCTTTTGCTTTGTCCCTAACAACCACCAGGACTGCAGGGATCCCACAGCTTCTTACTCTGTAGTTTAGCTATTCCCAAGAGCTCACGCACAGTCCCGACAGGGCTCTCCAAAGACTCGTTAGCTTCCTAGACTAGCTTCTAGCTCCTCCAAAGCCCAAGACAGATCACAAAATCTTAGACAAAACCAGAAACAAAGGAGGGAAAAAGCGTCTGATGGTGGAATCCTCTTCACAAATGAGAGTTGCTCTTGAAGCCTAAAACACATTTGTAGTAAGAGAACAAACGGATCGTCCTGGTGAGTTTAACCTCTGCAGGGCAGCACTGTGCTGAGGAGCGAGGCATTCATCCACGTTTACTGAGATGTCTGCAATTGCCTTTTGTTCAGAAGGCTTTTTAAAATAACATATTTATTTTAATTTCGTTTATACATTTGATCACTAGCCATCACTTAGCTTATAAAGTGAATTTTCCAACATGAATACATTTCACACCAGTCCAGTTGGGGATACTACACACGTTATCATCAGCTGATAATAACCCATTTCTGTCTTCCCTCCAAGAAGGCTTCTAGAGCAACTGCACCTCGGCCAGCTCTGAGCCCCAGAGTGTCATGTGGATTGTGCAAGCACACCCCCTGGAAATCTCATTACAATGCACACAACTAGATAGCTCGGGGTGGGCTTGGGTAACCACATTTCTAATAAGCTCCCAAGTGGTTCTGATGCTGCTGGTGTCACGCTGAAGTCCCTTCTCCATTTCTCCATCCTGTCAGTATTTGGGGCACACTTACAGCATAATGGGATAGAAAACACAAATAAACTCAATGTTGAGGAAAAATACCAGGATATGAAAGGCAGGGAGAGAATGCAGGCTTGTGGTTCCAGAGCTGGAGGAAAACCTTGGCACCCTTGGTCATTCTAGATTAAGGAGAGTCTCTGTGTTTGGGGGTCATGTAATAACTTCCTCTCTATGGAAATATCACACAAGCGACTGTTTATTCTCTTATTCGTAGGCTCCCTCATGCCAAACAGGGGTGTGGGCTAAACAGCAGGCTCAACATCCCAAACAACATAACAATTCTCTGACAAATCCTGAAAACAAGACAGGTATATTCTGGTCGATTTTGCTAACCTCCCAAAGCGTCTAAAATGGGAAGGAAAACAAAACGAAGTAAAAGGGGAGAGACTGTGGGTATGTGTTGTTCATTCATGTTTTGTAGGCTGACCTACTGTTTGTTTTGTCAGCTATTTTTATTAATAATGAGCAAAACAGAAAAACAGAGTAAGTCACAAATAGAAGACACATACTTAGGGACTCTCGCTAAGGGACGGAAGATCACAAGAAAACAAGCAGCAAGGACTGACTCTTCTTGAAACCCGGAAAGGATTGACTCGTGCACCTTCCCACTCACCAGGGGGAGCTGGTCTTGACATGTACGTCTGCATTCGGGATTGTCTTCATGAGGAAACTGGCCTAGGAGGAGGAAAGAACACAGTCCTGGGGTCCAGATGAAGAGACGCTTAACTCATGCTAATGCTTCCTAGCAAACAAGCCTCAGTTTGCTCCCCCGTGAAAAGGAAAAGAAAAATCTTTGCAGCTAGTTTGGTGACAATTAAGAGATGACACGTGTGAAGACACTGGTTTCCAGTGGACACTTGCTGAATTGTAGCCGTTATTTTTGCCAGCACCACACCAAGACCATGACTGTTTAACACATACCACACACCCCACTGAAAAAGCAGATGAGGCCCCCAGGATTAGCAAATCTTCCCAACGATTTAAAGAACTCACTAGCTATAGGATAAAAGAAAGATGTTAACTTCACTGTTTGCTCTTCATACACATGAGAAACGTAGTATCTAAAGACTAGGAGAAATTATTTTGCAGTTCAGGCCAGATCAGAAAGAAGCACATAATAAGCATCTAATTAATGGTAAATGCTATTAGTATCATTCCCCTTTAACAAATTATAAATGTGAAAAGATCAACACTGTTTGTTTAAAAAATTCTGTATTTCCAAACATCTCACCTACCCAATGAGATCAGATCTTGTCACCCATGAACACAACTGAAATTAAGACCCTGACTTTGAATTTTCTTTTTAGATCTTTTTCTTTTCCATGGTTTTCCTTTGCAAAGAAGCATTGATGATTTTAGGAAGACTCCTATTGGCTTGTCTATTTTATAAGGCACTGTTGAGAGTTCATTACTATAAAGGCCTTTGGGTGGATGATGATGACATAAACACAAAGATGTCCCATCACTATTTTCTCCTAAGATGGCCATGGCTGAGCTTTAAGTCCCATACAGGACACTCAAAATTACAAATTACACATTTTGGCCATCAGACCTTCTCACTCTGGCTTAACTCCCTCAAACTCCGGAAGAGATGGGTCAATCAAGATGCTTCCTCTAAGGACTGCAGAGTCATTTCACGTGCACGAATCTCTGGGATCTCTGCATGATAAACATGGACCACATGGAAGGTGTGGTCTGCCGGGGTCCAGCCTCGGCGGGGGTGGGTTGAGACTCGTACACAGGAAGGTGACACGGGTGATCAGGAACAGAAATTAGACTGAGATCTCAATGCTCCTTAGCATGTTCTCAGCCGGCCACAGCCAGAGCCAGCTCCAGGCTGCCGCGCCATGGCTATTAAAACATACGTTATTTATTGAGGGATGTTTAGGAAGTAAGGAGGGTGAGGGGTAGTAAAAAATTTACTCTAAGGAACAGGGTATACAAAGCATGGAAACAATAATTATAAAACATGCTGTTTGTCTTGTCAGATCAGATAAAATCAATCACAGTTCTCAGGATGAGGAAGTCCATTTGTCTGTTGTATTTTTTTCTTAGATCTTGATTACTGGGAAAGGTCTTTTGAAAAGGGGGGTTGCAGGAAGCTTGATAACTTCAGTCCTGGGCCAGCGTGGCAACATTGCTGGTTACAAAGGCCTAGATAGAAATCTTGTCTTGTTAAGTAAAGACACAGTTAATATATGGACTATCTATATATTACAGCTAAAGAGGGTGAGCCTATTACCCATATGGGAAAGCAAGATGATCTTGTAGCTCAGGAGTGGTCCTCAAGGACGAGGCACCTACGTAAGCACTGAGTGTCCTGACCCACAGACAGTCAACAGTTTCCTGGGGGAGTGAGAAAAGGGACACACACACACACACACACAGAGTGGAGACAAGACGAGGTACTGGTCAAGACTCATTTATTGTAGCACAGACTGCAATTATATACATGCTGGTGGGCATTGATTGGTGCCCAAAATGCAAATAAGGTATCACAGTATGGACCAATCATTTGTGTCCAGGAAGCTGCCCTAAATGTAAATGAGGCATTCTAGTTCGGCCAATCAGCAAGTGTCCCGCAAGTTGACCAATCAGCATGAGGATTCAGAGGGAACCAATAGATGAGTGACCCGTAAATGAAAACAGGCCTCCAGGCAACAACGGGGCGTTAAGAAACTTCCTCTCCTTGCCTAGAAACCTATCCGCCCTTTGGCTGGTCATGTGATTTCTGAGAAAAAGTTTTGCTGGATGGGGAAGTGAAAACCAAAGGTTTCTAAGATGGCAAATAGCTTAAGATAGCAGACAGCTCTCAAAATGGCTCCCGAATAGATCACCCAATGCAGCGCCTTCCGCAACTGAGGAGCTAACAGGAAACAGCTCCCTACTCTGTCAGTAACTGGGAAGACAATAAACTGATTTGGTGTGTGTCTAAGGTTTGGTTTCTTATTTCAGGCTTTCACAGGGAGAGCAGACTGCATCAAATCAACCCAAGAGTCACTTCGGCTCCAGGGAGCCTAAGAGGCACAGCTGCTCCATCAGCATTTTCCAAACCATCATCTGGGGCCAGAAGGTGGTGCAGGGGTAAAATGCATGATGCTCTGTGAGGTTGACCCATGTGGGAAGGTTCCAGTTCTATCCAAAGACCTCACCGAGTGGGTGATCTGGGGCTGGTCATGGCTGGGGGTGGATCATGGCATCAGGACCCTTTCAGAAGACTGAACTTTTAAAACGTCATTAAAGTTTGAGTCAGCATCTATGGAGAGCTTCCTGGCACAGGCACTGGGCCGCGTTCTGTGACACCGGGGACTACAGCAGGTCCCTGTGTTTTTCCCCTGCCGCTGAATTTCTGGAGTACTGACTGGTATTTCTCTGCCAGGCTTCCATCCTGGTGTGTTCTTGTCAAGCCAGCCCTCCTCTGGTAACGGAAAAGTTTATCTTCAGCCACAACTCACCGGACAGTTGCTCTCTTCCGTTTATTTACCTGATGTAGACACAGCCCTCTGTGCCAGCCAGTGACAAGGACATGTTTTCCCTCGTGGTGCGTCCCACCGTCTCACCGAGCTGAATTCAGTGCACGCGGCCATACCTGCCTTCGGCATAGTGCCTGCGGGATAAACGGAGCTGAGTCGGCATCCGCTTGATTAAATTTAGGCTTTGATTTTGTTATCCAGAAAAGTGCTATCTCACCTTTAGGGACAGGATTCGGTTATGCCCTTGGAAAGCTTCAGGTGGAACTACGTGAGGACCCCTTCGCAAGAGCCCTCCCAGGACACCAGAGCCCAGGATCTATTCACAGCACAAACAGCAAGGTTACCGGCCACCGACCTGCTGAGCCCCGCAGGCGAATTGCTGACCCTCAACAGTCCTTCGGAATCTGGGCACGAGCAGCAAACCTGCCCCCACGAGGTCACTGTAAAGACCCCATACTATGACGACCGAAACACGCATGGCATGTGTGAGCTGTCTCCTAGGTGTCCACTTCCTTTCTTCCTGTCCCTAGCAAGAATGTAACTTTGCCAGGAAGGGCGCTGACTCAGGAGGAGGTCCCCAAAGGTGCTCCCAGCTGCCAGGATCCCTCTCACCGAGGACCTGCGCAGTGTCAGGGACGTTCCAAACTCCAAAGGAAATGAACTGCTGCTCCCCTGCCACCCACTCTACTCACTAGGGCCCCAAAGCACATTAACGTAACATTAGGGCCATGATTTAAGCTGGAAACTGGGCTGGCAGGGAAAGCGCAAGCCCGGCTCCGCAGAGGCTCCGCCGCTCCGCAGAGCAGACGCGCGCCTCCCCCGGCGGTGACGTCAGCGCGGGCCGTTCTGCCCCCGGAGTCCGGGGGAAGCGCGGGCGCCAGCCCGGCCGCCCGGGCACTCCGAAGCCTGCTGGGGACCCCTAGTGGCCGCGGGCGGTCACAGGTTTCTCTGCAAAAAGAGAGCTAGAGGCCTCAGGGAGAATGCTTGGGCTTCCATGTTTGTCCTCCCCGCCTCAGTGTCCAGGGCTTTTTCTCGGAAGTGAGTGGTCAGAAAGAAGCCACTTTGCAACAAGCCTGAACAGGCCTCAGCTTTGGAAATGATCTGTATGTGACACAGGCGTCAAAACGATGGCTTCGGGTTAGCAGAGCGGTCTGCTATGCTGTTGGTAATCCTCACCTGGAAAGCAGAAGGCATAGGAGCAGGTCGAGGATGGACAAGGGCTGGCGTGCCCTCCGGCTGCTTGTGGCTCGTGTTTCTGCTTCCCGAGTCGATTTCTCAAACCCCAGTGAAAGTGAGCAATAAAGCCATGTCCTTCTGGGGAATAAATAATAAATGACCCAGCCTAGACTCCAAGCATTTCTGAAGAACAGACTCAGGCCCAGCGGGGTTTCAAGGGAGAGGGGAGCGTTGCACTGTAGTTAAGGCTGTGCATGGGGAGCTGGATCCCACACAGCCAACTGCAGCTCCAGTCCTGGCCCTGCTGGCTTGGAAACACGCTGGACGCCTGTGTGTGCCTGTGTGTGCATGTGTGTGCATGCATGTGTGTGCATGCACGCGTGTGCCCAGAATCCTGATGGGATGGAGAGATGGAAGAAAAGGATTATGGTATGATCATAAAGAAAAGAGGGGTCTTTTTCTCTCTCTCTCTCTGGCCAGTGCATAAGTCCTCTGGTAATTTAAAAAAAAAAATGATGGTAATATGAGTAATTTTTTTTCAGTTTTTCTTATATGTATAGTTTTTGCTACAGGGCACATGCACTTGCCAGGAAGAGGGAGAAAGGGAAAGATGAGAAATGCGCCCCCCCCCGGGTGATAGGCATGTTGTAACCCATTCTCCTCTCAGGATTTTAGACATGCATGCAGATATATTTGGCATGTTTTTTAAACCACCAGGTCCAGGACTCAGTCATGAAGTCAGCCATATTGGATCCAGCTGCCTTAACCACCACACCACCAGCTGGACCGCTCGCTCTTTGAGTACATTTAAAAAAATGTTTTTAATTGCCAGAAGGTGCAATTGATGGTGTGCTTGTCAGAGAGAAAGCACTCTCCAACTGGTGTGGTTCCACCTCAATTCTTCTCTCTCCATTTCTCCATCCCGTCAGGACTTGGGGCACACATGTCCAGAGAGTTTTTCAAGGCACCAGGGCAGGGATCTGAACCCCTGCTGGCCATGTGGGACCTGGCTCTCTCTACACAGCACTGTACCACTGTGCTAAGGGCAGTCCTGCATTTCTTAAATATATTATCAGGCCCAGCTGTGAGGCGGGGGGAGTGGAGTGCTGCTGTGTGAGGCTGGAGGCCACTTGAGAAGCTCTAGGTGGCACCCGGGTGTACCTAAACATGTAGTCAGGCCTGGGATTCCGGCTGACTGCAGGGCTGGAGAGATAACGGTAACCTGAAACCCTGTCAAGATACCTCTCTCTCTCTCTCTCTCTCTCTCTCAATATAAAGGCATAAACATTATCTGAATAGCAGCCTCGCTTTAAAGTTCCCACCTTGCTTGAACTTCCCTTGTTTGAATTCCCAGCTCCAGTTCAACTTAAATTCTCCCCTATCCGCAACAAAAAAGTCCCCCTGCATACAACTCACCAACGCTGCTTAGGGCGGTGGTGCAATTAGGCCATTTTTAGAGAATCGGATCTGCACTACTCCAAAGACTAATCTGTCCCTAGAATTCAATCGCATCCTTCCGTAGCTCTCCTTTGTGCATAAATAATCCCAAATGAGAAAACAGCTACAGGAGAGAAGAACGGGGAATCAAGAGCTCTCCGTACTTGTGGTCTTTTCCAACTGTGGCCTTCTATGCGAGTTTGTTAAATTATCTTGAATCAGATTGTTCTTAAAATGATCTAACAATAATGCATCAAATCTTTATTGACTGTTCACTATATGCAAAGCAAAGCCACTGAATCAAGCATTGGCGAATAGTAGGTTAATCCAATTTTATAAAACCAAGTGCATTTCAGCCTTCTGTAAGTGAAACTGGCAACATCCAGATGCTTTTCGACTTCTGACGTGGTTATGTCCCAACAAACCCATCATAAGTCGAAATACAGGTCAAAACGCACGTAAGTGGGCTGGATAGTGGTGCGGCAGTAAAACGTGCTGTTCTCTGAGGGTAGTCCACGTGGGGAGGTTCTGGGTTCCTGTCTGGAGACCTCCCTGAGTTCACCAGACACACGTGTGCCCATGATGCAGGACCGCTGAGGCTGTGGGATGCGGTGTGGTAGCAAAACCCTCCTGGGGGGTTTGTCTCTGTCTCTCTCATTCATGGTAAAAACAAATCAACTTTGAAAATGCACTTACTGCACCTAGCCTGGTGACCTACCCTACACCTACCCTAGCCTACCGTGAACATGCTCAGAACCAGGTTAGACTAAGGGTGGGGAAACGACTTAACGCAAGCCTGCTTCCTAACAAGGTGCTGACTGTCCCATGTAATAGTTAACGACTGCTAGGAGTGAAAACAGAATGGCCGTCCGGCACTCAGCACAGTGACTACTGAATACTTGTCACTTCCGCGCCATCATCTTTCCAGCAGACACCTACAAATCCTTCAGGACTGAGCTTAAATGTCACTTCCTCCATGAAGTCCTCCCTGCTGCTCCCCATCTAATAACCGGAGATGGCTGGAAATCTCTATGGGCCAAAGTGCTCCAGCCGCAGGGCCACCTCACTGCACTGATGCCCTTGGCTCTCAGCCTGCAGTCGGCTGCCAAGCACATCACCTTTACGTGCCTGGAGGAACGGGCAGGGGAAGCCTCTCCCCACTCACGGCCCCAATAGGAGGAGCCCCACTGCTGAGTACAGAATTCATGCCAGCCAGGGGGACAAGGAAGCTGCCATTGGGCATGTGGTGACGGTGACCCCAGAGCCCTCAGGACAGGTGCTTCGCCTATGGGGGAAAAAGCTCTTTCTGGAATGTCAGTTTGTGCTTTCCTGTCTCAGGATAGACGGGTGTCTTTGGAAGGCACTGCTTCCATTATAGGTTGGCCAGTGAGGAGCCACCAGGACTGCAGTCTCCCACGTGAACAGAAAGAAGGAAACTCATGGGGCCAGAAGGAGGGCGCCAGACTTCCACACAGTTGACCAGGGTTCAAGTCCTGGACCTGGCGACTTGAAAATCACACCAGGTGTGTATATGCGTGTGCCCCAAATCCCAGGAGAATGGAGAAAGGCTTGCAGTGTCGCCATCCCCCCCCCCACCGTGACTTCTCTCACTCGCTCTTGGAAGCGCCCTATGGCAAAAATGTTATTAAAAATATAAATAAAAGGAAACTCAGGTTGCTAGTCCCACCAGGGACCAGGAGCCCAGCCCCACCCTTCACCCACACACCTCATCCCACCTGGCAAAAGATGACTTTCCCTGAGGCATCAACTCGATCGGGCCGGGGAGAACTGGGATTTTTAAACTGAGAAGCATTCTTGTAAAAGGGTAGGCTTTATAGGACAATGGGGGAAAAAAGGAAAACTACCCTGAAGGTAGGAAAGCCTTCATCTGGCAGCCAGGATGGCTCAGGGAGGGAACAGGAAGCGAAGCTTCATTGCTTCTGCACAAGCAAGTCTTGCCCGACAAGCATGAAAGCCCAGGCCCATGCCAGCCCTGTGCCAGCCCATCTTTAAACAAGAGTTTACATCAGAGCCGTAAGGAGGAGGCGGGAGCAATCTTCCCGGCCTCCTCCAGCACGCTGGTCTTTTATAGCACAACGACAGGTCGGGGCCATGGGATGACACCGTTTGCCAGTCTCAGATTGGCTGGTTAGGGGCAGCAGAAAGGGCCAGTCTCAGATTGGCTGATAATAGTCAGGTGAGGTTCCTTGGTGGTTCAGGATTGGTTGGTTAGTTGGTTAGTTGGTGCTGGGATATATGGTACCTTCTGCTTCCAGTCTCATTCCACTGAATTGGGTCCTGTTCATTCGTTCCTTCATCCGTCCTTCCGTCCTTCCTTCTTTCCTCTCCTTCTTTCAGAGAGAGATTTTTGCTACAGGGCATGTGTGCTCGCGGGAGTGACAGAGACAGAAAGTGAGAATCATCTCTCCCCGGGAGGAGAGGATGGCCACACTGCAGTGCCTTCTGCGCCATTCTCGCAGGATTTTGGGCACATGTGCACATTTGCCCGGCATGAATTTAAGCCACTGGGTCTGGGACTCAAACCATGGTTGACTACGTGGGAGTCCAGCAACGTAGCCATTATGCCATTTGCTGGCTGTGCGTTCTGTTCTTTCAGTGGCCACCAGCGTTTCCTTCCCCCACCCAGTGGGGTCACTGGGTTACTCAGCCCTGTGGAGGGCAGGTGTCACCACCACGCAGTAGGAGGCGTTTCTTGGGCCACTTACAGCGGCTTGCAGAATTAGGTGCCGTGCCTTCAGAGGTTCGAATCACAGCAGAGCTAAACTGCCTTCTGCTTTGTCATGTCCTCGCTTTCAGCCTCAGATGTGGAAATTCCCAGATCCCAGAGGGCTGCAGGGATGCTCAAGGAAGTGGCTGGGGAGAGACGTGGGCGCTTGTTCCTCCCCCTCGCAGGCTCCAGCCGAGAAGGAACCAAGGCACCAGGAGGTGCTGAGCTCCGGGTGGTAAGAGCACTGGCGAGCAGAGCTAGGGTAGCAGAATCCCATGACCCATGACACTGGGGGTACATTCTAGAAGAGACGCATAAACGGAGTCTGGAAAACCTTGGCTTTCTCTGCAGGAGAGGAAAGCACCTCCCCTGAGGAGGGAAAGGAGGTGTAGAAAAACTCACGAGTAACCAGAATGGTTTATATTAATGCAAAGCCCTAAAGAAATGTTTTTAC